AACTGAAATACATAGAGTGGGAGGCATGAGGTCTGTTTGGGTGACCAGGAAAGCATGCTCTTGAGGATGTGACACATGACTCTGATCTTCTCAAAGGATGAGCAGAACTTGACGAAGAGAAAAAGAAAGACCAACATGCCTGGCATGTTGGAGAATGAAAACCACAGAGTGAATCATGGTAGATTCCTGTGACCATTCCCAGTGCTAGGGACTCTTCACCCTTGCTGGGGTTCTTGTCCCAGCATCAAGAAGGGTTCAGGAATCTGGAGAAGGGGCTGTGCGTAGATGACATAGGAATTCAGACTAATAAAGAGTCTGGAAACGAGATATAATTTTGAAAGGCATTTGGGGGTCAGAGGAGCTTAGCTAAAGGAGCTAAGATCCAAGATCTTAAGTCTAAGGTCTCTGTCCCCAGGACCTCATGCTTTTTATTAACACAACTTGTCCTGAGGCCGAGATATACACTTCAAAGGGTATACAGAAACATTGTCAGAATGGGGGAATTAGCCTACAGCTGTTCAGGTGTTTGGCCAGTAGGAGGCAATAACATGTAGATTAAGATGCCTTTTAGCTGTCTGGCAGCCACAATCAGTTTCCTATTCAGGTTTGGGGAAATGCCTTTAGCCATTCCCAACAGGTGACTACATGTGTGACTCAACTCTGTTGAGTCCCCAAGTCTCATCAACCTTTTGATGAAACTCTTGAAATTATGACATGCTGGAATTGGTTCCCGGCAACCCTTTGAAGCAGAGCGACACTGAGAGGATAGAGTGGTGGCCAGACAACATGGTATCATTTTTTTTTCCAAAATGATCATAGTTTGCATAGATTTGAAGGCAGTACCAAAGAAGATCCCTAAATCTCTTGAACAATGAGTGTTGTTAGAATTTGTCTTTAGCCCTGATCACTGCTATATTCCTGGTACCTAAATAAATACCCTAAACTGAAGGAAAAAACACACAAATCTACAAGATGAGATTCATTTGTATATAATAATAACAGATATTTGATTCATTCTTAGGTATTTTCCCATCCTCATCATATATAAATCATGAGATGTTTTAAAAAAATCTTATTTCTTTATAATCATAATTCATTCTTTTTACTTACTTCTCTTTTTATCTGCATTAGGTGATAAGTTCTTTGAGGATACAGACACTGTCTTACTAATCT